TTCAAAGGTAAATTAACTAACTTTTTCCTAATTGAGAATTCTAAGCCTGCGGAGGCCATTCTGACTAACTCAAATTCAGGAATTTGAGTAAAACATCTCGACTTCATTTGTCTAAATCTATTCAAATAATCATCTATGCTTTCATGATTGTATCTCTTTATATTCATTAAATCGATAAGACTTACTTGAGTTTCTCCCCTAAAGAATTGCTCATGAAAATTTCTTTCCAGCTGCATCCAATTGTGAATTGAATTCAGTGGCAGCGACGTAAACCAAGTGAAAGCATTCTTTATTAATGAACTAGGAAAATATTTCATTTTTAATTCCTCGCTCATCGCTAGGTCCCCACATTCGATTTGGTATTGTGCCACATGCTCGATAGTGGATTCGCCAATTTCTCCAGCGAACTTGGTAAATTTGGGTATCTTATATCCTCGAGGTAATTCTGTTTCGAGAATCACATTTGGAAAAAGAGAAACAAAGTATGGTTGATGAGGTGGTCTTAATTCCACTCCCTGAGGATTCATTCTTTGTCCCATCAGGTGATTGTACTGTATGTTATTTTGATTGTACATATTTTGACATCCCTCATTTAAATTTCCATAAGTATCATTCCTAACCTGCTGATATTGATCATTGTTTCGATTCCTCCTTAATAAATAAAGGGGATTAATATTAACGTTTTGGCTAACATTCTGATTGGCATTATTTTCGACCCTTATTTGTCGGGGTATCGCCAATGCATCCCCGATACGCGACATTTGGTCTGCTAGTATTTCAAAACTAGTGGTAGTGTTTTGCACTAATGGATTTATACTGTAGTCAACTGTTGTGATAACATGGTAACCATCTCGAAATTGCTTTCGTCCATTTGTTGTCGAAGTACTCCTAATGAGTTACTGGAAATTCCAGTACTAGCATTTTCGATAGTCTCAAAATTGGATCGATGATAATCTCTATCGATTGTATATCTCCCATGATCCAGGTTTGCTCTGTTTTCCAGGTTTGACACTAGAGGCGTCTGTTGTGTTCTTAAATTTTGCACATTCCCTGAATTTTGGGGTGTTACTAAATTTTGAGACACGCCTAAATTTGGGGATACTCCAAAATTTTGAGGCATGCCTAAGGTTTGAAATATGCCTAAGTTTTGGGGCATTCCTAGGTTAAATCTCGTACTTCGTTGTAGTGAAGAAGTACCAGTCTCATTCATATTATTAATCGAAAAGTCAGACGGTCTTACACTCATATGCGGACCTGCATATGTTGTTACAGGACTCCCCGTAGTTTGTATATTGTTTGACATTACAGTGCTAGACCCTAACTGAGTGTTCATCGATGTACCTGAGCTTTGTTCAGCACTCACAGATATCGATGTACTCACATTTGTCGATATTGCGGGCATATTCCCATTATGACCTTGCCCCCCAGTGTTTGGTAAATGTGAATTATTTGGAATCTCATTGTTATTTTGATTATGTGGTAGAATTTGACTCATTCTTAATACTCGCCCACTCCTTAATATCATACACTTTCGAACTAACCAATTGTTTGTGTTTTTCGACACAAAACCCCCTACCTAGCGCGCCAATTTGTTTCTGGTGAAAATTTGATCGATTTCGATTAAATCGAGACTCAGGTTCTAACCAAATTTTAACCACGTAGATTCTTTTTATTTAGGCTAGCAAACGGTTTTCAATCGAAAAATGCATGAGAATCGAAAATTCCATGGTTTCGAAAAATGTAAACAACACAAAGTTAGTATGCAAATCGAAAGTACTATTTTTGGTATTTTTTATTAAGAGACGCGAAGTAAAGAAAACAGTGAAAAATGTCGAATCGAAAGATAGTGCAGAATATTAAATTGCAGAAAAATGTAAAGTGCGGAAACCTCAAATTTGCATTAAGTGTAAAAGGCAAGGAATCGAAATTGTAGAAATGTAAATAGCAGGAAATCGAAATTGCAGGAATGTAAATGGCAGAAAATCGAAATTGTAGGAATGGAAATGGCGAGGATCTTAAACATATAACCTTAACTTGCATAAAAGTAAATATTGCATAAAAGTAAATGACAAGGCATTGAAAAGGCAGAAACTAAAAGCTGATAAACATAAATTGCAATGAAAGTAAATTACCAGGGAAAGTAAAGAAAGCGATAAAGATAATCAATGAAAACGGAAATCCAGAGCATTAGAAACTTCATGATGCGTCGTTCTTCTGCAGACTGTTCACTAGCGCTTCTGTTGTCTCTACCAATTTCCCCTTCTTCCTCAAGCTTTGCTCTATTTATAGAGCGCCCTTCAGATAACCTCCTAAGAGCAGTTAACAAAACTGCCACCACGATCCATCCCGCACGTCTCTTAGTGTTTAAGGTTTAAAAAACGACTGCATCCCATGTTCTCATGTAAGAGATAACTGCTTCTTTGATCTTCGTCAGCCTTAGTTTAGAAACTGCTTCCCATGTTCAATGTGTGTGTTAACCGTTCCCTCGATCTCGATTTCAGACATCGGGTACTTTGAATTGTTTTTGATTCCCCTTAATCTTAACTTTGCACTGTTCTAATTTCTCGATTCTTTTCAACAATAGACATCGAAATTTGTTTCTTCGATTCTCGATTTTGATTCTCGATGTGTTTTTATCTTTATGGTCACCAGGTATCTTTTACCAGTCTTATGAATTTTTTAACCAACTATACGATTATCGATTTTCTTTCGCTGATTCTTTCGATCTTGGTATCGATTTTTCTTTTACTAACACATATCCACCCTCTCATCACCTCACTACCCAACGCGCAGTCTTCACATCTCTTTCACCGCCCATCTCCAAATCACTCTCCCCGGACCTTCACTGAAAATATATTTCGATTTTATTTATGCTACCAATCTTAACTGAAATAAATATTATTTTTTTAATAAATACATAGCATTCTCAGTAGATACCCTTCTTGGCATAGTATATAATCAGTTATTTAAATTTTCAGTGGAATATGAATTATTTTATTAAATAAAATAATAAACTTTCTAGATAAAAGGGTTCTAGTTTAATAAATTTCAGTGTTAAAAACCAATTTCTATTGATTGGAATATATTTGAAATTGTATAACCATCAAGTTGTAAACTAACTATTGATATAATGATATTTTAAAATACAAAGAATCAAATAGTTTGTAAAATAAAACTATATTGGTTTACTTAAATTGAATTTATAAATTAAAAATTTTGTTTTATAAATTTAGTTCTTATTATTATATTTATAGCCTTTATGGAATTGTAACTTAAATTGAACTTTATTTTATTATTTGATTGTAAAGTTAATGAAATCATTTTTATAATTATAATAAGTTTTGTTTATTATCACAATTTTAAAATAGTTTATCATGATCATAAGTTTAATTGATCATCTAGATGTTAACAAAGACTACTCATTTAATTAGATTTATAATAATAGATTTTTATTCTACTAACATTTCTATTAATATTTAGTAATAAATATTCTATTCTATTAACATGTAATATTCTATTGTATTCACAATTGTGTCACCATAAGAAATTCTATTTAGTATTCTATTATTAATTGTTGAATTAGATTATAATAAATTTTCAGTTACGCATAATAAAGTATTTTTTTATCACATATTCATTATATATTGTGACTTAAATCAATTAATAATATTAAAAATATCTCCAGTGGCAGGTACAATGTCAGATCATATTAAAGCAATAGATTACTCCAGTAATTAAATAAATTAAGCAATCCTTAAAATAATAATAAAGAAAAAGCAGCACATACTTTTACCCTTTTTTTAAATACACTTAACTTTATTGTAACTTAAAATACTATTTCCATATTTGTAATTAAAAAACAATAAAATTATTTTTGCCACCAACGATATCTTATTTATTTATTAAGCTTATTTCAAATAAAATCTTCATAGAGAAAATTAATTTATCGTATCCTAATAAGATACCCACAAATATTTCTGTATTAAAGATGTTATATTTTTCATTTAAATTTGTAACGTTTAAATTTAAATTAAGAATTTTAACGGTCTCTTTCAGTAAAAAAAAAAAAACTCTGTAAAAAAATATTTATAAAAAATATAATTTTATTTATTAAATAATTATATTCAATATGATTTCATGATTTGAACATCGAAATTGATAATAAAATATATTATTTTTCAAATTAACTGATTCGAATTTATATATTTAAACATGCCATGTATTATATAATGACTATAACATGACATAATATAGTACATAGCATGTAAGAACTCGATATTATCGCATCATTTTAAAGATTTAAATGAGTTATAACTAAAAACACGTAGAAATTTTTATAAAACTAAAATAAAATTTATCCATATTTATATGAACTAAAAGAAAAACATTTAAGCACGTCCCTCTTCATTCAGGATGGGAAGCAAGAGAAGAGAGGGTACTCAAAGTATGAGTTTGACCGAGATGAGTCCTATATACGCTTACTTCACAATATACAATACAAAACAGTATCAAGAGAATCATATCAAACTCAACATGAGAAAATGACTTTTTAACTACCTGGGGAACATATAAAAGTAAAAGCACTATATAAATTAATCCAGATGAGGAACCCAAAAATTCAGATCTGGGCTAAAACAAATAGGAAAAACTGAGTCAAAAATATCTCCTCATTTGCTATGCTGCTGCTATCGCAGAGTGGGTCTCCTACCTCCATTTTCTATCCTTTCTTCCCGCACAACACCCAAAACTTAACATACTTTCCAACCCTTTATTTTCTCCACAAAATAAAATTCGACCAGAACCCTAAAGAATCGTGTTTCAGGTATTCCTTATTCTTCAATTCATGCAGGCTCCGACCTTCTCTTTGTCAAGAATAAAGGAAAGAACGGAAAAGTATGGAATGCAACAGCACAACGCAGGACACACACATGATTGGTGAATTCCCCAAACCAAAGTCCAGACAGTACCCATAAAATGTCAATCTCTACTATTATCTGCCCTCAAGATTGGACAGCCAACCTCTGCAGATGCTCGAAGAAAACTTGAAGACTCACATCATCAGTAAAGATTACATCTGAACCAGCAGCCATCTCATGTGCATTATTATACGTTGCTGAGGGATTCAGTTTTGCTAATAAAAATCTAGCCTGTTAAACATCAATGAAAACACGGTAAGTTTCGAAATGATTGCAAATCTAAGCTTGGCGAATTAATGAAATAAACAAACAAGACTGTTAGTATGTTATGTGGTGGTAGGGCAGGAAAAGTATCTGTATCTGTATCAGTTAATAAAGACAAATAACACTCAAACTGGCCTTGGTAAACTATACAGACCTGGGAACCGTGTTGGTCGCACACTACCAATCTAGGAACTGGGAACCGTTCTCTAATTATCATTTCAGAATCATCATGCGGAGCTCGTAGTAGTTGTGCAAATGCCTGTACCATATAATAAAGTTATCAGCAGAGCAAGAACAAAATAATGACAAAAATGGCTCTGAATAAAATAACTTAAAATCTGAAGAATATAATATAAAATTTATATGATCAATTTGAGAGCATAATTTGTAGGTAACAACGATTTCCTTGGTAGGATGTCACAAAGCACAAACCTGGTGTTCTGGTTGGTTCTGGTATCCCAAGTTACGCCATTGAGCTATTGTCATCCCATGAAAAATAACCACACTAAAATAAGAATCTAGTAACAAAATCCGGTCTGCTGCAATGGAAGCCACATCTAACAACGCTGGTGCAGGCAGTGAATTAAATGAATATGCTATCAGTGACGGCTGAATCATTACAGCAGCATTACTAATATTTTCCCTATTTAACAACATGCGGAAATATGCAGTCTCGTCTGGACTGTTGTTAAAAACCTGCCAACACATTTCAACACCCACAAAGTTAAAAAAAGTTTGAAAACCAGAACAGGAAGAAAATTAACACAAAAGCTACCTGTAGAAACTGTGAACGCCGCAGATTGAACATAAACTGAGGGAAAAGTGAAAAAGATGGGTTTAATGTAAAAGATGATGGATCATCCTTGCGGTAGTCACCAAACTTAGAACAGAGGCGAATGAGAAACCTATCCAACCATCGTGTAGCATCAAATGTTTCCTGATCAAACAAAATTTGATGATTCACAAGGGATTTGTTCATAGAAAGTTTTACTTAAGAATTTTGCCATAGATAATATCATATAATACCAATTCATAAACTTATAAAATTTAATTCTGGGAAAAAAAATCACACTCAATACAGCAACACAATTGGTGTCCCAGAAACACCATATTTTGTCCAGAAAGAGCAAATTACAACATAGTTGCCTAATTGCACCACCTATAGTAAGATATATCCTAATACATAACTTCCATCAATTATTTTCAATGAATTACTGCCATCATGTAGTTTCTAATACAGAACTAAAACATGGTCACTAATACGGGATAAATTATTTTCTATCACATGCACTCCTAATAGTAACTGCCTCCAATTCACCAATGGATCCTTTCTAAATTCTAACAAACCCACTTGGTTTTTGTTCCTATCACATTACATGCCCAAAAAAACCAAGGATTTGATATTTGATAAAACGGTTATCTGCAGCAAGTTGTGAACCAAACATTTATACAGGTATACCTTTCATCAAAACATCAATATAAGCCTGTTCTTCCAAATTTATGTTTTCCTAAAAACAATCATAAATTTGATATGATATAATTTACTAAAGCTTGAGCAAATAAATCTCAATGGTCTTAGATTATTTTAGGAGTATCAAAGAAAACAAATGGTAACAACACAACTTGTGACATACCTCACTCTCCATTTTTAGAGAAGCAAATCTAGCCATTACAACTGCTGCAGTTTCTTGGTCAAATCCTTGAACCAATTCCTGAAGAGAAAAATGATAAAAGTAATTAAAAATCCTGTATTTATCAATTTAACAATTTCCTTGTCAATAAATAGTTGTCCTACACAAAAAATAATTCATTTCAGTTTATTTCATAGATATACACATTGAACACCCATAAACATAAATGTATTTAGCTAGATATTGGCATATGACATAACTTGAGAGTCAGACTTGACAATTGACAGCAAGAAACAAGAGTAAAAAGTAAAAACATTAAAGCTTTTGTAACATTATGATAATTGTAGGCCCTGTAAATATTACGTTGACAATGACAACCAACAGGCGTCCACCAAAGATATAAAAAAGGCTGAAACTACCTCGGAGCTAACAGTACTATCTACCCATCTTCTAGTTACTGTTGTGACACGAAGCACTGATTGACCATTTGGGTCCTGATAGCTGCAATAAGAACATGAACATTAATATTCAACACCCAGTGCATAAGTGCAATTATATAGAAAATAGTACATATATGAGATCATATTAGTGGAAGTTATGTGACAACCTTGTAAGGAACTGCAAGTACAATTGTGGGTTGACAGCACCTGGAGTGTTTGCCCGATCACTTGATGAAAGATCAAACATCACGGTCAAGCACGTACTTTTGTCAAGGCCACACATCTTCCATGCTGTTGTGTTTCCCTCTCCTATAACAGTATCAGCAACAGAAGGCCCTTTCTGCAGTATTGTGATCATACAAATCAAGAAAAATAACATTGATTCAGTCTTAGTTCTGTTACTTTGATATCCCCAACAACAACTCCAATTCAAGAGTTAATAAGCAACACAGAATTAGGAGTTTCAATCAAAAGAATACCCAACCTTTTCCAAGGAAGTGCAAGGCCCAATCACTCCCTGAATTTTGATTTCCTTGGAGCAATTTATCTCCAGGGTTCCACTGAAACATAAATAAAGTTGGCAGTGAGCACATCTGATAACAGATAAGGAAAAAATGTCTGAAGAAAATAAGAGACAAGGGAAGAGAAAAAAGAAAACATACTAGAAAAATTAAAATGAAAGTAGAACATTTGAAATGAAAGAATTCTCACTTGAAACAAAGACCAAGAGATTGTTCCCCATCCTCAAAAACTCGCTTAAAAGAGTCCTTGAAGACTGAATGACCAAAACTTTCAGCTAGGACTACAAGACCACCAGTTCTTTCAACTGCAACTTTAATTTCTGCAACTCCAACCTTTATATATAAAGCATCCACAAATCAGCACAGGACAGAATGAGCATAATGAGATCCTAATTGTTTTTCAATGTACATTCTGACAACATGCCAACTCAAATTCATGCATGCCTATTGCATAATATAAACAAGAACTGTCTTGCATACTCACAATAAAGTCAATCACAAAAAATCAAAATTGAATTTTGAAATATTACCAGATTCTCTCTTAAGCAGATAAATAATTGACAATCACCATGCCATCATATAACACCCAGATGGATGGAACTCACATTAATTAACCACATTGAAATATATCTTTACAGGTCATGTAGCCAGGTATTACCAGTTACAGGGAAAAAAATGTAATTTGGAATATCTACTTAAATAAGCCTGTAAAAAGTTGTGGATAACTACACGATTCTAGTTAGTCTGTTAATATAAGGTAAGAAATAAGGTATTTCATGAACTTAAATTAAGAAAAAGATACAAGAATGATCCCTAAAGTCCTCCGCAGGTAATGTTAAGGACCTGCTTCTTTGGGATTATTTAAGTTTCTTTTATAAAAAAAATTACTCTACTTAATAACAAAACATCTGTCTAAAATTTGAGTTAATTGGATAAGCTATTTACACGAAAGGTTATAAAAATTTGGTGTCACGATACATTGATACTTTCATTTGCTTCACATATCCATCCGAATTTGACACTTTTCCAATATGATACTTCTAAATACTTCAACGATACATACCTTTGAAGTACAAAAAAGAGTTATTAAAAAACTAATATAGCAACACAAGAAACATAGAAGTGTGTATAAACGTATAATATAAAAACATAGAAGCATTGTCCCTTAATGACCAAAAACTGGAAATTGTCCTATTCAGGAATGATCTAAAGAAAGGCAGGAGATTGATACTCTTTCTATTTGTAAAATTAACAGGGAGTGATTTATGATGATGATAATTCATAATTTTATGTTCTTAATTTGAATCTCCAAAACTGCAATTCTATACTTATCATGTTCTATGAATTTTAATACATATATTGTATTCTATATATTTGTTAAATAATTGTAGCATATCAGATATGTACAGTATCTGATACAAGAAAAATATCTGTGCATCACATCCAAGGACACAGGACATTGTTTTGATAAAATTAAAAGTTCAAAAAATGTCACTGTCAAAAAAAAGAAAAAAAAGGCAGAAATGCTACGTTAAATTCCATACATTGTCAGGAAAATTGAGCTGGATGATAATATTACACTTGATTATCAGAACTCACTACATGTTTCAAAGTCTCACTTTCTGAAATCTGTCAGTAGCACTATATGCGAAAGAAATCTTAAGGTATGAGAATATCAGTAAGCTGGCCCAAACCTGATCAAGTGCTGATGCAAATATATCTAAAACGTGACCCTGGCTAACCAGCTGTTTAGCAAGACCCTCATAAAATTTGACTGCTTTCTTGAAGTATGGTGCTGCATCTTTATCAAGATCTTTATGAGAACGAACCGGGTCAGATAGATCTTTTGACACAATCTGCATAGCAAAGAAATATGAAAGCTAATATTTGGCCCCAGAAAAATTCAATATAGACAACAGCAAGCATAGCATTCACCACAGATCCCTTCTGCGTATTCGAAGTTTGCCATAAAACCTTTAGTCCTCTAAGCTCTAAATTAAGGAAGAATTGCACCCAATTATTCTTTGTCCCAAATCCCAATGACACTTGACGGAAGAAATCAAATCTTAGGAATATCCTAATAAACAGTAACTGCGGGATGCCCAATTGCTTACGCTTTTAAAACAACTATAATTATAGTTTTCACCATCTTTCAAAACCCTTTAGCTTCTATGGTAGCCGGTGCAATTTACAACTTCGCTACAAGTCTCCTTCCATGCAAGTGACAAAACAGAAATATCAAAATTTTGCACAGCCAGTTTTAAGAGCAGTGTCTCGTAAAGCAGATCATCCATGAAACTTGAACGCTACATGTCACATAGCATGATAACATAACCGCTAACCATTTCATCGGCCACACAATCCTAACATAAAATTTGATAAATGCCGAATACCGCTTCCCCAACATCAGCTCAATGTTCATTACCCTAACAAAGAAAATGCTATTCAATTACACAACAAAGAACAGGACAGCAATTTACCGCCCCAGGTCCTTCCGTGCACGGCCCCCCAACCAATGTTATGATTCTAGCACCAGTCCCAGGATTACAAGCACTCAGCAACCCCGCAGCAACACTCAAAGCAACCCCAGTGCAGCGTGCAGGGCGGCGACCGGGCGGAACCGGCCACTGATCCGTCTGCAATTCATCTAACAGCTGCAAAAATAAAATGAAAAATCTGTAAACAATCTAAGCCATTGAAACCACAAGACAGTAAAATCCATAAACAAATACCGCATTGAGTGTATATTCACACTCAGAAGCAGGCAACAAGAATCGGGTGATGCCGGAACTGGGGAATCCGGCGACGCCGGCGAGAGTGGCGGAGCCCTTGTGAGGTCTTCTCCCCGAAGCAGAAAGGCCTAGCTGATCGAGAATCTGATCGGCGGGAATCTCCTTGGAGCCGCGGAAGACATAAACCTTGGACATGTCGGAGAAGCCCAATTCGTGAACCTGGACCTGCGTACCGAAGGAGACGAAGCCGACGAGGGCATTATCAGGAAGAAGGCCAATGGCGCGACGAAACGCGGATTTGAGGAACTGGATCTCCTCCTCGATGAGACAGGTATCGAGAAGGAAGAGGAAAACGGGGGAAGGGTTGAGGGAATTGGAGAGGGGGAGGATGTACTCGACGGTGGTGTATTGGGGGTAGAGTTCTCCGGGGAAGCTGGTTTCGGAGATGGCGTGGTAGTGAGGGGGGAAGTGGTTGCGCTGGTAGCAGAAGGGGCAGATCCAGATCTTGGCGGTGAAGTCGACGCGGGAGAACGGGTTGAGGGCGGAGGAGCACGTCTTGCAGCGGAGAGGGGCATACTGGAGGCGGGGGATGTCAGGGTGGGGGCGGATGAGGGCCACGGTGGCGGCCAGAGGGATGACGCACTTGCTGGATTCCACCTTCGTGCGGGGCCACACGTTCCACGTCATGCGGACTCCGTCCACTCCCTCGGGATCTGGGCTCGCCATCTCCGACATCCTCGATCACTCACCCACTGCACCACCGATTCTATTTCCCTCGGAAACGATCGCTCGCTCCTTCGCTCCACCACGGTTCTTCAATTGTAATAACAATCCAATTCCAACGCAAACATACAAGTGCTGCTTTTCTCTGCATTCAACTCATTTATTACATTATTCTTCTTCTAACTTGACACATCCAATTATATTTTTAAATTTTTTTATTTTTAATTTTTACGGTCAATTAAATTAATAATTTATAGTCATCAATAAACTTTACTTTTCAATTTATACACTTTAAAAAAATTATTTTTACATATTATTATTTTTATTTTTGTTTTTATAAATCTATTGGATAAATACTAAATTTTAAATTTATATACCTGTTTCTTGTGGAATTTTGATCGATTTTGATTTCGAGGGAATTTTGTTCTAACCAAATCCCAACCACGTAGATTCTTTTTTACTTAGGCTAGCAAATAGTTTTCAATCGAAATATGTATGAGAATCGAAAAGTACCACAAATCTTAATGTAACCTAATGACAATCGAAAACGCTATTTTTTGGTGGTATTTTGTATTTAAAGCACTCAAAATAAAGAAAGCAGTAAAATGTCACATCGACAAGCAATACAAAATATAAAACTGCGAAGAAATATTAAATTGCAGAAAACGTAAAGTGCAGAAACCTCAAAATTGCATTAAGTGTAAATGGCACGGAATTGAAAATTGCAGGATTATAAATAAGCAAAAAATCGAACTTTGCATAAAAATAGACAACAGGAAAATTGAAATTGCAAAAATGGTAAATGACATGAAATCAAAAGTACAAAAACTTAAATTGCATTAAGGTAAATGACATGAAATCGAAAGTACAGAAACTTAAATTGCATTAAGGTAAATGACATGAAATCGAAAGTACAGAAACTTAAATTGCATTAAGGTAAATGACATGAAATCGAAAGTACAGAAACTTAAATTGCATTAAGGTAAATGACATGTAATCGAAAGTACAGAAACTTAAATATACATGAATATAAATTACCAGGGAAAGTAAAGAAAGCGATAAAGGCAGTCAATGAAAACGGAAATCCAGATCGCCAGAAACTTCATGATTGCGTCGTTCTCCGGTAGACTTCTCACTAATATTTCTGTTCTTTCTGCCAATTTCCTCCTCCTTTCTTTTCCAGTGTTCGCTCTATTTATAGAGCATCCTTCAAGTAGCCTCCCACGAGTGGTTAATACCACTCTCACCACGATCTTACGGGCCTGTTCCTATAGTCTTACCGTTTTTAAAAACTGCACTCCACGTTCTCACGTATAAGAGAACTGCTAATTTGTTTCTATCGCGGTTTAGAAACTGTTTCCCACGTTCCCTGTGTTTGTGTTAACCGCTCCCTCGATCTCGATTTCGGACATCGAGCATTTAAATTTTGCTTTTGATTCCCTTTAATTTTGTACTATTCCGAAATCGACAATAGGCATCGAAATTTGTTTCTTCGATTCTCGATTTTGATTCTCGATGTACTTTTATCTTTGTGGTTACCAGCTTTTACCGATTTCATCGAAAATACGTTCTCGATGTCTTCTACCAATTGTATGGTCTTCGATTTTTTCTTTCCTTCGTCTTTCGATCCCTTTATCGATTTCACATTAACAGAATGCCCCCTTGGAAGAATATAAACGTTTGTATTTATATTCTTTCAACATGATTCCCGCCTTTTGGAGGCTCATCAGAACTTAGGGTTTAGGGTTGCTGGGGTTTTAGGGTTCTTTTCACTTTATGTCACTTATCATGTCAGTTCGGCCGTCTTACTGCACACGCCACATTAATTACCCTTCACCTCCGTCGCTTCCAATACCCCAGTTAGTTTCTAAAAACGCTTGTTACCCTTTTCACCCTTGTTTTTCACCACGAACTTTATTTCTCCTTTGCATCTTCGTCTTCTACCTTGCACCTCCGTCTTCTACCCTCTGTTTTCCTCTGCTCTATCAGCTAGTGAAATGGCAACCTCATCCAAATCCTCTGACTTTTCCGCCCCACCACTTCCTTCGTTGGCCTCTAACCTGCTAGAGATTAATAACCAGATATTTGCTCCAGTTCCTTTGTTGGAGGAAGCTTCTCAGAAGGTTGCTGAGACACAGGTACTGATTCCCTATACTGCTGGTGATGTAAATTATGCTTTTGGGGGTCTTATCCGCTCTTGTAGTGGATCTTTTTCTTCCATCAAACTTTCTTCAAAGAGTCAGGCTCCCATTCATCAATCTGAAGTTCGAATTGATTTTTTGAATATCGTATCCAAAGTATACCGTACGGGTCCTCCCCACAAAAAACCCTTGTATGTTAGGTGGTTTGATCGAGTAAAAACAAAGTTTGGGAACCATTGGAGAGATGTGGGGATCTTCGATTTCCTGCATCTGTCTCGATGCGATTTGTCTTACTTGGATATGGCTATGTTCTTGTCAGCTGTCCATCTGTGGAACAAGGACTTACATGCTTTGGAATTACCCTATGGTCCACTTTCACCCACCCTCTTTGAGATTGCTGCTATTACCGGACTAAAACCCATAGGGGAAAAATATTTTAAGGGTGTTTTTCCTTTGGATAATTCTTTAAGGTCAAACATCGATTGGGAATCGAAGGCGTACGGACATTTTATCGAAAAGCACTTCGTCGATGATCCATCGGTAGCTGTAACTGATGAGGAGCATATAGTCTTCCTAGTGTATTGGCTATGTACTCATGTTTTTTGCCCCCAATCCATCCAAATTTCATCCCAACTTTATAACCTCGCCTATCTCCTACACACAGGCCAGCCTCGAATTTGTGTTAGCAAAACTTTTATTAGCCCATGTATATACTGCTTTTGATGAAGCCGTCGAGATTTTGAATACCCCTAGGGCTTCGGGGAATTTTTCGGGTCCCATTTGGTTTATCCAATTATGGTTAAACTCGATTTTTGAAAGTATCCTCCCCCCAACTTCCCAGATGCCCCCAAGTTTAAATTTAGAGGGTGCCCGATTATCTTCTCGTCATCCCCGCCATAAATCTGACGAGACCACCTATCGTAATTACCTTAGATTTTTGTTAACTCAATTTTATTTTGGTCCGCATTTAGCTCCTTTTACTGTGAATCTTGGAAGAATAAGTGACCAACTTCGAGGACCAGCGTGGTTTAAATCGAAATTTCCTGCTCTTACTCCGGGACTACAGTCAGAATTGGTCGAAGTTTGGAGCAATTATTTGACTCAAGATGTATTAGTATCGGGTTTTCATTCAAAGGACCTTCAGCTTGTTACTTATTACCCTCAACTTTTCTCGAGGCAGTTTGGTTTGAGTCAAGCCCTACCTTTTTTCCCCCTCGATACTTCCCCAAGGTCCAAGTTAAGTGAATCGACAATCGGACGGGAGCTCTCCAAACTGCTGCCAAAAACCCTGATGCATTTTTATCCTTATATTTTTTAATCCAATTATTTATCAACTCTTGGTTTCTCTGAGTGGTGGACCGATTGATTTTCGAATAATCATTCTAATTTCGACATAGTTCAACAAAAATTGACTGCTCATCCTTCTCTCGTGTTGCAGGACAAATCGAAGGCGAAGAAAGGTACACACTCCCGCTATCTCCAAATATCTCGGTTCGAAAATTTTTATCGAGTCTGTTATAACCCTTTGAAATTAGAATCGACCTTTTATGATGCTGTTATTTCCTTAGCCAATAAAACAGACACTAATCGATCGAACCACAAAATAATCAACCCTCAAGATAAAACCCCTTTTGAAATGTATTGTCCCGATCACCTTTCCACTTTTCCCACAACTCCTTTTGGACTTGCCAAACCTTTAACTCATCCTAAATGGGTTCGAGAGTTAAGATCTTTCAAAGAAACTTTTTACCCTAAACCCAAAAACAAAGATATTTCGATATCGAAATTATCCTACTTCCCTTACCTGAACCTTCCTCAAATTCTTCTTCCTCCTTGGCTTGTCCATATCGACCGAGTTAGGATTTTGACTCCATCACCTTTTGGTGAGATTTTGCTACCACTCTTAGGAGTATCTTTTGGTTTTCTTTATATTGTTAATTAACTATTCTCCTTTTTTCGACAGTATCGAAATCTTCTAAGACTGTCGCCTCTGAGAAGGAGAAGGACTGGGAGTCCTCCGATGAGTCAGATCCATCGGCCCTCATCAGGAAACGCAAGCACTCTGCCACCATAACCTCATCTTCGAAAAAATCGAAGGTTTTTCTCGATTTCTCATTGTCTTATTTCTCCATCTATGTCTATAGTTGATTCACTTTGGATTCTCATACAAATTTCTTTGTCATTTATTTTCGATTTCTAATTTCAGAAATAAAAATCGAAGAGTCCTCGATCTGTTCCCCCAACTGCTGTTAATCCATTATCGGCGGACTCTAATACGGTCACCAAAACGGGCCAGACAACACCCACCACTCATTCAAGTCACGTGAGTCCCCTTTTTTATTCAAATTTTATATCCCTAGATTTTGACAAGGCTCAAAACATGATTTTCGACTCTCGATATTTTTCAGGATCATCCATCGGCGACTACATTGATGAATATCGATTCCATACTTCAGTTATCAACACCCATTCTTGAGGTACAGCTCTCGAATCTTGTATATATGTTTATTTGGCCTTTTTACATATATCCTTTTCTGATATTTGTTTCGATTTGCAGCAACCTGAGGCTGTACAGAATCCCCCTCCTGCCTCATCAACCCTTGCTCTACTCCCCCCTGGTACTTGATTTTTCTTCACTGCTTCTTTCTATTTCATTCTTTTATTGAGATCCTTCGATTCACTCTTTCGAATTATTTTCTCTCCAGTAAATACCCCTGTAGTCCACATCCAGGATTCTCCACCACCAACTTCTGCAGAGCAATTGGATTCCCCTCCTTTTGCGATGCCTGCTGTTGAGTTGATCTCGGGGACGTTGTCATCGATAAGCGATCCTGCTCCAAGCCATGTGCCAGAATATCGATCTGCCATCGA